ATAAAATAAAATAAAATAAAATAAAATAACTGGGCTGTTAAAAGGCACTGAGAATGTGCATGGTTGTCTGGAAGGACTTTTGATGGTTGATAATGATTTGCTGGTCCAAAGTTTGCATAGCTGTAGGGACAGATGAAGTTTTAATAGGTCTGTGATTTAAATTAATGTCTCAGATATATATTTTTGGACAAGCCCTTGTTTACTGATGCTTATTATAAGCAAGGCCCTCATGGCTTTGAGCCTGTATTTTTATTTTTGTTTAGAGCTCACTAATTTAAATCAAGCCTAGGTCAATTAACTTAGTCAGGTTTAAGTTAAAATTCTTGTACTCTAAAAGATAAGAAAACACACAGAGATTTAAACTGGTTTTAAAACCAGGTAAGTTGAAAAAGAAATCTTTACATTAAAAGGTTTAAAATTCTCTTTTTGGATAAAGCCCAAGACAAAACGCAGTTGCCTCATTGCCTCTGGGTGAAAAATGAAGGAGAATATCTGCAAAAGAAAGATGCCATTAGTTTTAAACGAGGAGAAATCTGGGAGATGCAGCCTCTCCTTCTACCTTTAGAAAGCTGTTCTTTAGAACGTGATGCATAAACCTTATTTGTTTGACCCTGTGGCTCCATCTGGCTCCAGTTCCTTTTAATTTGGGCAGCAGCTCTTGAAAGTCTCTAAAAGTAACTGAGCCAGGCACCAACAGTAATACAGAATCCAGGAAAAGTACGTTCCTTGTTTATTAGGACATTAAATCCCTATTTAGATTTTATGCTCCCTGCAGCAAAATCTTGATCTGTAATGAGTCCTGTACATTTAAGGAGCAGTATTAAGTCATTCATATTTGGAAGGAACCCTGTAATACCTTTTGTATGAGAGCAGCTACTGAAGTGCAAAATATTATTTCACTAGAGCAAGTTGAAAAATATAGAAATCATTTTAAAGAAAGAATTGCACTGCTTTGGTTTTGTGGTTTTGAAATGGACCCATTTTCTGCAAAATTTTCTACAATATTACTATCTAAATGTCACTGCATGATTTAATGGTAAAGTTAAATTTCCCCAATTTAATTTTAAAATAGAGGTAATAGCATTTGTAGTAAACAAATCTAAACACCTTTTAAAAAAATTGAAATATTGTAAGATTTTTGTGACATCTGTATTATTTCTTGCAGCAAAGTCAGTTTGAGAAGCCAGTTTTCCACAACAGAGTGGCACAAACACTTGTAACCAGCTGTTTTATTCATTATGCTGCCTCAGTTCTACCCTACCTTATATTATTGTTTATCACAATAACGTCTCTACTGTTTCTACAGTTTTTTCACTTTCAGTAAAGCATTATATCTGTAGAACAATGATTTAAAGCAAAATACAACTTCGATATGTTTACTTCAATAAGCAAGAAACTAATAGCAGGAGTGTCGCTAGCCAGAGCAATTATGGTCTTACAACTGTAAAGCATGAGGTGAAATCCAGACAATCCATTTACAAGATATGATGAACCACTGTTTCAGGGGCAGTGCACTATGACAAATGCTCTTGCTATTGGTCACAGCTTGCTTACCGTGAATATGCTTAGTAGTTCTTTTTTGTCAATACATCCGTTTCCATCAGCATCGTATAGCTTAAAGTACCATTTCAATTTTTGGTCAATTTTCCCTCGTATAACCAAATTGATTGCAGCTATGAACTCCAAGAAGTCTATGAATCCATCCTAAGAAAAAGAGAGACAAAACCCTATTTAACAACATTGGTTTTCTGTTCATTCTGGCAATTTCATAGAAACAGGTCATCGAATTCACTGTAATACACTGATTTATAAAGCACCTTAACATAGAAATCTCCTGTGGTGTTTAAAAAGGATGTGCTCAACTGGAAGCACTATAGAAAGGGGGGTTAGCACAAACAGTGTTGTTCTCCTCTGAAAGCTGAGGGTAGTAGGGGTGGGGGGCAAATCTGTTCAGAGCAATTGTGATTGACATTTTTTGAGAAGAAAAGAAACAGATTTGTGGTAAACTTCCACACGTGAAAAAGGGGAGTCTGGGAGGTCTGGTTTGGTATTAATGAAATGTCTACAGTAGAGTTGCTTATATTCATATGGATACTGCAGAAGTATGGATGGTTTCCAGTGCAGCAGATCTGCTCCAGGTGTTATTAATCTGAGAGATTAGTAAGCATTGTACGTGGTAACCAATACCCTGGCATGAACCCCAGGTACTGTGGTTTATCCATATAAACATCAGGTCTCTCTAACTAACACATTTTGCATGGGCTATAAAGCCTTCAAGTCATAAACTACTT